ACCCAGTCACAGAGCAAGTTAACTGCAAGGAATGGGACTGCATCCCAGGGAAATTCCAGCCTCCAAGTAACAGGGTGAGCTACTCACAACGCTCTTCTCCTGAGACAGGGCCACTCTCGCTATCTCCTCAGCATCCAGAAAAGTCTGCTGTTGCAGGGGACAGACTTCACTGTCTGGCTGCCTCAAGGAAAAGGAAAAGATGAACGGCATAAGCATTTTTTTTCTGAGAAAAATGTGTTAAAATCTTGTGGGAGCATTGAAAAAAATACCTATGGGGCAGGGAGGTGGGGGAAAAAGCTCTGGTTTTCTGTCATTCTGGCTGCGTTTTATTCTGTCAAGCATGAAGAGAAATCTGCATCACGTTTTCTATATCAAAATTTGCCGAGTGTTTGTCCTCTTGCTAAATGCAGTTCTGGCCTGCAGTTCCAAAGATCTCCTGGTGGTATTCACACAACCACTGAATCAGGGGAACTGTGCATTTAAAGGGACTGCCGCTGTCATATAGAAAAAGACACATGTATTAGCACATTCAAGAACATCCCATTTTTTTCACCAGTTATAACTTTTGGACACTACTGAAGAGATTTCCCTGACTGGCTACCCTGCAGACAGCTGGGATATTCATTCAGCGTTGTCCTTAAGGAAACACACCTCTCTCTGGTCTGAGAGTCTTAACAGCACTGCTCTTACAAACACGTACTGAAGAGCAGCGCAGGAGTTACATGCTTTGCATAACACAGATTAATATCACAAGTCAAGAAATACTGTGGTAGTGCATTGTGGTGCTTTATTAGTGTTAGACATGCAATATTTATTTAATGAACAGAAATTAAAATATTAAGATAACATTTTAATCAATTTAAAGGCGTTGAAGTTGCAATAATGAAACAAAAATAAAGTTTTTCATGCGTTCTAAGTTTATAGTTCTCACATCTGCATATAGTTGTGATTCTGTACCATTATTAAATGTAGACAAACTACCATTGATTGCACGAGATTAAATCAACCCTTAAGTCACAAGTAATGTTCATATCTTTTACAGACTTCCTATAGAACCTGGATCTTCAGCTTTTTCTAGTACATTGTAATAATACAAGACACCTGGAAGCTTCTAAGACGAATAGGAATGGCTCTACCATTTGTAACATACAGCGGCTTCTCCAATGTACAAATTACGAAAGATAAAGCAAATGCCCACCATGCTTTAGGAGACCATGACTTCTTCAAAACCCTTCATAAACAGATTAAAGTGCTACCTATTGCATATTAAATACTTCCAGTGACCGTATCTACATTTAGAAGTTACAAATCCCTGAAAATAGGGTTTCATACCAAAAGTGCTGACCGACCCTTATATCTAGCATCATCAACACAGCAGCGCTATAATCCTTCACCAGGTACTTCAAATAGAGGAAGCTGGTCAACATGCTTTAAATATCACCATTTTAAAAGCCCACAGCTAACGTCTCTATCATATCTACAACTGTAATGGATACATAAAGAGCAAAAAAGCATGAGCTTACTATACACACTTGGTGTAGAACAACAATTTTTCTTTAAAGCTGGGAGTGTAAATAAACCTCCAGTGCAGCAGTAAACATATTAAGACAGCAGTTCTGTTTGTTTTAAGATGCATCTAAGAAAGGGCATCCTGTACAGAAAGAAATGCAGACTCGTACCTAATGAGCCTGAGTTTCAATAGGTCCTCAAATCGTGAGACCTTTCTAAATGCAAGGCAACATTTTCACAGCTGGAAACAAACAGTTCTTGACACTGAGCCAAAAGCAATAAATGTAGTTATGTATAATCTAAGGAGAACTCTACATTCATGAGTAGGTGGAAAACCAAGCTAACCATAAAATACAGCAGCAAGAGGTAACATATATAAATATTAAACATTCTTCTTGGAACGGCAGAAAGTTTAAATTTGTTACTTACAACATTAAAGCATGGCCTTGATGGTTGTTCTTTGAAGTAAATAAAGTATATGGCTATGAGCAGAGCTGTTTCAAAGAATAATTTCGAAGTATAGTGTGCGCACGGATGAACTCCTATGCTAATTTTTGGGAGAAAAAAATCAGAACAATGTGGAGATATCCAAAATTTTAATCCCTACATTTTCAAGGGCAAGAAGGACTGACTGTAAGTTGCAAGTTATTATGGTTTTAAAATGATCTGCAAGAAAGTTTACAGTTTTACCCTATGGGAGAAACAAAACTTACTTTGTTTTCAACATACACATTACTCTGCATGAAACGTTTTCATTCGAAAGCTGCATCGTTCAAAAAATACATGTAGGGTGAAGATGCTTTTCAAAAATAATCTCAATGTATAGAAAAATGTTAAAATATTCTTTCTAAGCAGCAAATGATGTCCATGCAATCTTTCCAGAATTGCTCCAAAATCAGCCTGTATCTTCAGCTATAAGAATTCTATTAAAATATTTTCATAGTTGTAAATGTCCCATTCAGCCTCTCTCCGTAACTCTACCTTTTCCTAAATTGCATTTGTCGTTTTCCCCTCTTTCTTGACAAACTGTTAGAAACAAAAGGTGCTTTTATTCACTTACAGATCAGATAAAGTCTAGATAGCACATTCAAAGCTTCACTAAATTTCTTCACTAATGCACAAAAATTGATCTTTTCACTACCTTTAATCTGCTTATCGTTCTTGGTATGCAAATATGTCAAATGATCTGCTTTTAGTCAATTATGCAGTTTGATATTCTACATTTACATTCTAAAAGAAGTGATTTCAGAGGTGCTAAATATAGTAGAGTTTCATTTTAATAATTATAAGTTGGCTCGCAAGTGAAAAGTCATTGCAGCATATTCTCTAGTTAGTTTACTAGTTAAAGCCCACTGGTGTGTATGATTTAATTATTGTAGATACTACCGATGGTCTCCTACCAGTTAGTTTGAAAATGACCGTGGAATTCAAAACAATTACACAATGCTTCCCCATAACAATATGAAAAAACCGCTTGCTTCAGCCAAACATTTGAAAATGTTTAAGAACTTTTACGGAAATACTGAGTAACTGCAATACATCGTGGTGCAATTAGTAAATTAAAATCTAATTGAGTGCAAAACCTAATTTCCAACAGTAAACGTACCATAACTTAGTACATAACCTTTGGCACTTCAAATATATTACAACAAATTTACAGTCATTTAGAGCTTAAGTGGGTCAAAAGAACATTCATGTGGCTTATGAGGTACCGAACTTGATAAATCCTTAGGCTGTGAAAAGCGAGGCTACCTGACGAAACGGGCCCGTTTCTGTGCTACAACCGCCCTAACGCAGGGCACCACCATTCGGTAGGGCCTGAACCACTCCGGCTCCATCCAGGCACAATGACCTATGCTAACGGATCCCAACGGTGGGCTGGGAACACTCAAACTGCACACATTTTAGGGACATAGCACTAGGGGGATGGGAGGTAGTTGCTAAAAAAAAAAGAAGAAAATTAGAAGAAGAAAAGAAGAGAAGCAAAAGCCAAAAATAATGAAATGAAATCTGAGAACAATTGTACAAAGTGGAATTTTTTCTAACAAGAATAATAATACTAACACCGTCAAAAGCATTCAGCTCCTAGAACTTTTTCAGATTATAATTATTCAAGATATTACTAATTTTCTCAGTTTTAAAAATACAAACATATTTAGATCTTTTACAACGACAAAAATTTGAAATTCAATGTCAAGCTTTTTTTCCTCCTCAGCAACAGCCATTACATGGTACCGTGAGAAAAAAAACAGATCAGGCGTAGGAAAAGAAGAGGAGAAGGAGAAGACAGTCAGCGTTCTTAAATCCAAATCTAAAATATTCTCTGCACTTCTTTTTAATATCATCTTACTGTTTCACAGCAACAGACAATCCAACAGAGATTGTTATAAAGGAAATAAAAATGAAACTCTATTTATGTTAATATTGTGAGGATTCTTCTCCTACAGTATTTTCCCATTATAAGTTCATCACTATTTTGCCAATTTATTGAACAACATATACCTTTTTCATATATCATTTTACAGACAATTATTAAATGATCAGGAAGACATTTACTACATTCTTCTTTCATTTGCCTCAATGAAAACTCATTTTTAGAAGTACTTACAAGGAATACAGATTGTTTTTTTAATGAAAAGCCTTTCTAAGTACTCTATATGTGTTTAAGCAACATAGCCTATTTCTAAAGGCATATACTTTCTTGTCATAAGATTTAAAAAAACTAAGACAGATATATGTCATGTAAAACTCAACCTTAAATTGAGTCAGTTCTACATTTTTTAATTATGTCTGTTCAAGTCAGTCTGTTCATTTCTCCTACATTTTCACCATAGTAGACCTTGACTGAACAAAGTATTCCTATCTTTATTCCATACTTCTCTCCAGTCCTACCTCTGACTATTAATACTGTTCAAAGTATATTACCATATAAAAAAGCATGCAATAACTTCATACAAAAAGATCCTCAAAACAACTTTGTCATGAGCTCACTACCAAAGTTCAATCATTATACACAAAATTCAGCATTTAAGTGTAAAATAACTGATTCCAGCATGTACCATTACTGAAATGGCATGGTATTTTTTACATCGTTATACAAAAAGCACATTGTATAGAATACAGCATTTACTCTGCAAAGACTGTGCATCACTGTTTTCCTCCAATATGTGTAGAAGAAACTACATTCCATTGCAACAAATCACACTTAGGTTTAATAAAGCGTACTACTCTGGCTTGAAAACAGTGGTCTTGATCACATGCTGTAATATCAGAATCGATGTAGTTGCATAATACCAAGAATCATTCAAGAACACATTCATCACAGCACAGGCTTCCCAGTTGAAACTGCCACATGGCGAACACTAGGTTATTATATAAACTGCATGGACATATATAATGTGTATTACTAACTCTACTGTAAGTATTCTGTACCTCAAGATGTTTTCAAGAATGAAGCAAAATGTTAATCTAACAGAATATTACTTTTGGCAGTTCCTGCTAGTGTTTGGAGTAAAAAACAAACAAAAAAACCCCACGCCATAGTCCTGTCCTCCCCTGATTCCTGGAGTTTCTTAGGAGAGAAGGAATGAAGAGAAGTCAAAATGGTGAAGTGTGATTTCCTTCCACTACTGTTCTCAGCAGAAAGTACCATCAAGTATCTCTATCTTAGCTTTTGGAAAATTTGCCGGCTTTTCGAGAAGGTTCATATGGCACTCTGAGAATACTAGGTGTTTCTTCCATGACTCGTACAAGAAGATTATCAATGTAATCCTCAAGTTCACGAATATGGGTGTCCTTCTTCTTAAGTTGCTCTTTATGTTTCACCAGCTCCTGCAAAACCTCTTCATAAGTAAGGTTACGGTATCCTGCAGTGGCGTCAAAAGGATTTCCATCCTACAGATAAGTATAAAAAAACCACCACATTTTATTATTTTTTTTATTATTATTATTTTATTATTATTTGTTCAGTGTTCTGACCAAATTGATGATTTATTGCTTTTCATATGTTTCTCATGCACCTCTTGACAGAAGCAACTTCCCTTAGACCACATACTTCCATCTCTCTAGAGCTTTGCCCTCCAATACCTCCACCAGAGCAGATAACTGGAGATAGGCCGCTCAGTTTGAAGGAAGCTTCCTACTCTGTTATCTCAGAAAAATTATTATTCTCAATAAGATGCATACAGAGTTAATGACCACATGAGCAGTAATCACAACAACAGTTAGCAGGTCCATTTTGGACCATCAGCTCTGTGGTAACCTTATTTAGAGAAGAACAAGAGCAAGAGCCCTGAGAATTCAAGTCCTGTTGTAACTTTCCTGAGCTCTCACCTTCTGAGCCTATCAAAGCAAAACATTTACTTAGCTCTACATTACATGAGCCCTCACCTGTCTTTCATATTCTATTTTCAGTCATCAGTGGTTCTCCAGGCCTTGGCCTCTGAATCATATACTAAAACCTTCTATTTTAAATTTCAGGTGAAGCTAAAAGGCTGCATGTTATTAGCACCAGGGCACTTATGACAGCATTGTGTACTACTAAAAGACCTTGCTTGTCTGCTTGCTTGCCTTAAAGCAGGAGGGGCCCAGAATTATGGAGCAGGGAAAACAGAACTGTTTCTGCAATGATTTCTGATGACTCGGTAAGTGCAGGTATTAGCAAAGATGGACAAATTAGTTCCTTTAACAAAGGGCAACATGTGATCCAAAATTTGAATGTCTTGTTCTGTGTCAAAAAGAATTAGCTGTGATCTTAAGTAACAAGATAATCATAAATTTGGAAATGTACAACTGAGAAAAAGATCATGAGAGTCGATTTATAAAAGCATTAGCACTGTCAGACATGCCAAGTGGTAAGTTTTGTCTGATTCAGAAATGGAGACATTTAAAAGACATGGAACCTCTAATTAAGTAAAATAATCTAACCTCTGAAATCCTGCACCTCTAACAGGGAAGGAGAACAACGTTGTTGTTTACAGTAGAAAGTTGTCATTAAAAACGATAAAGCCTGCACAGCTAGGAAGCACACCATGTAGTAATGTCATATTCATTCCTTCTCCACGCTCCATTCCTTTTCTTTCCATACAGCTCCGTATTTGCACATTGGCATATGTCGAATCATTAAAATACACAGGTGGCCAAAGTTTTCAAATAAACCTAATTAAAAGTGATGGTGCACTGCAAATAGGCTGAAGTACGACAGATCAATCAGCCTCTCTCCATCAATTATATTCTAATAGCAGCTCTTGAAAATATGTGCTTTTAAGGCTTTCTCACTACACTTGAGATATTTCATGTCACTCTTTTGTACGTCTATTCAGTATTTTGAACTTTCAAGTTACAAGATTGTAAGTGATCAATAACTTCCACTTTATTAAAATGGCTAACTTGATGCAATTTCTAAATTGGTTAGTAATTGATTTCAAACAAGTATAGAAGAGAAAATAAGTTCACTTTGTGCTCATTATATTTTTAATACATTTTCTTCTACAAGAAGGAAGGAAAATTTCCTCTTTACAGTACTAAATTATTGTACACATTGGAAATGACATAATTAACACTTCCATGTCTAAAATATAGGGCTTGCCTGATTTTCTGATTTGGCAAAGGAACAGGAATTAAGATGCAATGATGTCTTTAATTATTATATAAAGCTTACTGGAAAATCGTGTGTAATACATATGCTTTAAAGATGTTTTGTCATACACATGCTCCGTATAGATCTTTGGGGGGAATAATCTATCACATTAATTACACAAGAAAATTCTAATTAGAGGATGTTAGTACTTAGAAAGAAATACTGTTAAAGTTAAGACGATTTTAAATGCTCAGTTTGAGCAAACAAATGATACTGAAATGCATAAGGAACAACTGCATCTTGACAAAAACAGATACTACAATTTTAATACAAAACATTAATCTTATAATGAATTATTAGGAGTCTAAATAACAAGCTATGCAAAGAATTATTGTCTCAGCTACAAAATACTACTGGGGTACACACTGACAGCCAGAGGAAATGGAATTAGATAAAATGAAGTCCTGGCAATCTCTGATCATCTCTTTATTGTTCCAACGAGGAATTCTGCTCTGGGAATATCATCTAAGCTACTTTCACATCTTTTGTCCTACTTACTTCATCTTCCTTTCTGTTCTTAATTAGGTCTTAAAGAGCTCACACTGCCCTTTCAACTGGCTACTGCTCCCATTTAAACACTGCCTTCAGAGACAGGTGTTGGCACCAGACTAGAAGACATACAAACATAATTACTAAATGTGATGCACAAGAAATATAATAACTTGGTGAGGGCTATTATTGCAGAACCTAATAATAAATTACTTCAAACACCTTAGAAAGCAATCTTGAATATTTAAAAAAAAAAAAATCAAATGGTTTCATTCAAACCTATGGTCGAGATATAGTTTCTTCTCCTCCTAATTTGTATTTTGTATTAAATGAGCACCACCTCATAATCCTACAACTGACATTTAGGATAGCTGGTATTCCAAAAGAAAAATCATCAAGGATTTCTTTTGTCACCTTTAAATCCTTTATTTAAAACAATTCACATCTTTTTTCTTAAAAGAATTAAACCAGTGCTTTTAGCAGCAATAAATTACATGATTTGCAGTAGTACATTTTCAAGCAAATAGAAACTGTAATTATGGTTACTTTACAGACAATAGCTGCTAAGTTAAATCAATTTTTTTGATGTTGCTTTTTTTCAGAGATTAAGTAACTGCCTGGTAGAACTATCTGATCAAAGGCAGCCTTCATATATTCTGACATCTCCCACCAGTTACTTACATTGTAAAAACTTGGGCATTTACAATAACATCCAATGTTATTACAAATCATTTACATAAACCAGCAAAAACCAGCACAAAGTCATATTTGCTTGTCAAACTTGTTTTCTATAGATTTTAGAGACTGAAAACAAACCCACTTTTAAAGATTTCATCTATTCACAAAACAAATTCTAGTAAGACCACGTTTTCCTTCAAAGACAGACACTGCACAGGACATCTGTGGATTTTTTTGGTCTTTCCTTAGTACACAATCTATTCTAGGTACTGTTAGAGTCAAAAGACTATTTTTAATAACAAATTCTAGTATATCTATTTTTAGTATTTTCCAAGAGGCTGCTCATTTATTATTTGTATTATTAATCCTATCATATATCAGTTCATTACTTCCATTTTGATTTGCTGCCTAAAGACTGTCCTCAAGTCTCCGAGTACAGTGACAGGAAACTCCTGCTATGTCAGTTAATACATCACTGCCTAATGCAGAGCTCCTCACCTGACTATCACTTCTCTAGAGTCATCTGAATACCCCCAAAGCGATATTCATTTCAATGTCTGTGCAAACGCTAATTTCTCCCTTCTTCTCTACATCACCATACCAGAAGTACACTGCATATTGAGTGCAAAACTGAATTTATATTAAGCCTGTAATTTTCTAATCAGATTTTCTGGATATAAACAAGAGTATCAGCTTATATAGCGTCAGGCATCGAATAGCTGGCACTTACTGATGGCTTTCCATAACACTTCATAACTCACCATTGTTTTCCTGAGGTCCTCAGTGCCAGGAGGATTCACATTAAAACTGTGGAAAAAACCAAAACCCCAAGTATTAGCAGTGTGTACATATCTGACCAAAACACCTACTAGAAGATACTACTGAATTAGGTATATAGCTATAAAATATTTAACATTATTTATTTTCTTGATTAGTTGAACTTAGGAAAAGTAGGAAAATCTTCAAAGTTAATGGAAATTTTCATATATTCTTTGTTCACAATTTTTTGTATTTCTCATATTCTTTTTGTCACAAAATCTGAGTATGTACTTAAGAAATGCAAGAAAGAATACTACGGAGTGGGCTCCACTAGCTCTTCTCTTCTCTCTTGACTTACCTCAGGCTTCTAAGGGAAAAGAGATACTTTAAGTGAAATACTGTGGAAACAGGTCCCTGGGACGAGCTTGTTAAAAACCAGCAACAAACCCCTGCAGACTAACACGGATTCCCAGCTTTCAGGGCAGCTGTCAGAGGAGAAAGGTCCTTTAGAAATTCCAGTGAGATCACCAGCTTAAGTCAGAGCTGAAAAGCCATCTTCTGTCAGCAACATTTGTTTCGTACTTAGAATTGAGTAAATAATCTACTTTTTAAAAAACCTAGTGATTATCCCGCGTATCCAAAAAGCAAAGCTATTTCATGATGTTGTTGTGCTGAGATTTTTTCTGCCTCAACTGCAAAAGTGCTGTTGCTATTGATAAAAGCAGCCACGGTCTAAGCATCAGGCCAAAGAAACGGTCCAGTCGTCTCTGAGGTTGATGCAATCATTAGCAAATATCTTCAAAAATCAGTGCTGCTATGTTCTTCGGTACTTGCTACAGAAAGTTTGGAGAGAAAACTAACTCTCCAAAAACACGTTCGGAATTCGGATACGGCTCACAAATACTGTTTACTCAGTAGCATCACAGGAAACACCATTCCTGCACACCACAGAATCTATGCATGTACTGGCTGTCAAGGGTAGCGTTTGTTGACTAAGAGTAATGCAAAAAGTTACAAAAATATCTCTACACTTTTTTTTTTATTTTAAAAGACAACTTAAATTAAGGAACATGTATTTTGTGACTATCCATCACTCTGTTACCTGAATTTATAAGCCATATATTTCATGGTGTAAAAAAGTGGAAGGGACATAATTTACAAATGGAAATTATTCAACATGTAAAACCCGAATTTCTTCTGTACAAAAATTTTTTGGTTTTACATTAAAATTTTTTACTCTGCACATTATTTTTAATATCCAAAGTAGGCAGTCTTTTGCTTATAAAGAAATCCTGTGAACCATCTGCTGGACAGAGGATATTAGATAAAGCTTGGATTACACGAACAGTCACAACTAGAAAGCAAGAGGTGTCTGACGAATCCAGTTCTGGCTAATTCCCATTATACCTGTCTGTAACAGCAATCCGCAGCAGCCTGCCCAGTTTGCTGGAGACCAGTTCTGAATGAGGGGCCTCTTTCACCGGGTATTGTCTAAAAAGCTCAAGGCAGGAACCCTCCCTCACCGCCCGCCTTTTAGCTTCACACTGATGTGTCAAACACATGATGAACTTGCTTCATTCATGGCTGCCTTTTGTGATCCGAGCACAAAAAAAATGAGTTAACTGAACTGGATCGAATTAGCTTGGTGAAAACCAAGAATGTCTCTATTTAACGAAGTGTGGCGTTAATTTGGGATATCTTTCTTTTGGGACTGTTTCCTCATGTTAGACAAGATATAGAATAATACGGCCTGACTGCTCAACTGAGTGACTTTCTGAAAGGTTAAAAAAGCAAGATCTTTCATTGCCTTGAATGACTTTCTGTGAAATAAATTCTGGGGACTCTTTTTCATAGCAGTAGCTTAAAAGAAAAGCAGCAGTTCTGACTACAAATATTTGCATTTGAAAATCAGAAATATAAATCACTAGCAAAACTGACTGATTTTTTTTTTTTTAGCTAAAAAATCTGCAATCATTTCTGTAACATTGCGGACATTGTAACTGCAATTACAGAAGAGCACATCTGTGTATTTCACATGAAGTAATTTGAGTATACTTGCAATATTCCCCACTAAAAACCCAAACCCCATGAATACTCTTATTCATATTTTAAAGAGATCTGTGGAAAATACACTGCTTCTCAAGGAAGAAACAGGTGTTGAGATGGCATAGAACATTTTTTTAAATCAGACCGTCTGCTGAGCAAGGTGGGAGCTCCACGGCCTGGCTGAGCCCCGCAGGGTTTCCTGCCCGCACTCCCAGCCCGAGGGGAGCGTGAGCAGATGAAGGCTCTCACTGCCGTACACATAATTCACTATCTGAGGACCATGCAACACCTTGAAAGAAAATCCTGTAAGATTACAAATGCAGTTGAGCGAGTTGCATGCCTGGTGTACTGAAATTCATTAAAGTGTTTGTTTTTTAATTTAAAGTTCATCACAATAATATGCCCCTAAAATTACCACCTCACTTGATTATTCGTAACAGCTTGCAGAAAACACGCCTTTAGGACTGCAGCCCACACGCTGTACAACGATCCTAAGCCTCCTTCGAGCAGCCATTCTCTTGACTTCCCAAGAACATTCTGAAATCATGGACCTAAAGTAATTATAAGAAATACTGCCCTTCTTTTTTTTGCTGTGTTACAACCACAGTTCATAGTGATAATGCGAGTTACAGACCCATCTCTGGTTTTACCCCAGTGTTTCATAAACTGGCAGGGAACTTTTGCTATGGAAGCACGAAAAAAAACTATGTTCACAGCTTGGGAAAAAGTTTTCTTTTAGCTTTTTTTTTTTTGAGTGCAGTTTTCTGTGAACAGTGGAAAAAAACAAAAGGCATTGTGGAGTTCCATAATTATTGTTCCTCAATTATGTCCACACTATATTTGCTTAGTTTACAAGTAAAAAGATGTTTCTTTTCTAACAAATTGACTTTCTCCCAACTCACCCTGAGAACTAAAGTCAAACCACGTTCCTCTGGCTCATTGTCATTGCCACTCTGTGTGTTATATCCCAGGCATTACACCTGAGTCTAACGCCTCCATAACGGACATACCTGCCAACCTACACAAACTGGCTTGACTACTCCTCCTCCTGTTCACTGACAAGAGCTCATCTACCTTCTTGCTCCTGAGTCCTTCATCATCTCAAGGAATCAAGTAATTTTCTATCTTTTCCACTCATCCAGACAAGGCAAGAAGCCCCCTGCTCCACTACTGTGGAGTCTCATGTGCCTCAAGGTCAAGGACCCATAATGACTTTTAACAGAAACTCCATGGTTTGTCTCTTAGCGCTAATAAACTTTCCTTCACTCCAATCACCTTCAAGTAACATAGCAACTAGTAAAAGGGAGGTAAATCACACTGGCAGAGACTCCAAATCAGCCACCCAACTTCTGTGTGGCCCCTAGCCCACTACAGGTGGAATAAATGTCTTCAATCTAGCACAGAAATTAGTTGTGCCCACCATTTCACACATCTGAGAATTCAATTAGTTTCCTTAACAGTTACTTTATATCAAATATTTTGACTAGATTAAATCATATCCATTATTTTATTGCAACTTTTTCTTTACAGGGACATTTTTACTGAGTAGTAAAGTTTGTATCTCTGGGGTTTTATTGGCTTGGAGTTAAATTTTAGCTAATCCGAGATGAGAATTCTTCTTTACTTCCATGTTGCTAGGGGGAGAAAAGTGACGAGAAATAAAAATAGAATAAATTAACAATGGAGACAGACATAATATAGTGCTGATTCTGTAGAGTGTTTTGGATGACTATTTCATAATCATAACAAGCGTGTTATTTTATACTTTCTTGTTATTTTCCCTATTTAAATACACTTCATTAGAACTACAGGAAACTCTCACTTTTTTTCATAACACCTACTTTTTATGAGGTAGTTAAATACTTAGATTGTGGGCTGATTATTTGCAGTTTGTATAGAAACTTCACCACAGTGGAGTTGAGTTTAGGATGTATCACAGGCTCAAGTTTGTGACTGGAGCTTGTAATTTTGTCTTTTGAAGTTTAATGGTAGTTAAAAACTCAAACATTATGTCTAGTGGCTGCTTAAATATTTAGCTTCTAAATGCCTAGAGATTAAAACACTGTTTAAAAAAATCTTTCCTACAACTGATTTAAACATTTTAGTGCTTGAACCATTTACTCTGACAACATAATGAATGGGAATCAGGCTCCTAAATTATTCTGTATGGAAAGCGTATTTTCTTACGGAACAAAAGCTTTTTACCTATCTTTAGCTACTCATATTAGTTATCTGATCATTGCACTGTATACGATTAGAAACTGAAACTACAATATTTACATTAATCTTTGCTATTCAAAGTACCGAAATCTTCCTTGTTAACTTGACATTTTGTACAATAACCTTAATACCTATGCGTGGAGTATAAGCTTTCATTTTTTTTCCTTTAACATGGAACCTCTATGTACAAGTTATTAGCAAAGCTCTACCATGTTCATTTTCCATTAGAGTTGAAAGATTGTTCATATTCCTAGTTTTCATTTTTTGGACTGATTCTTATTGCATTGCTTACGTATTTTTCTTTGGATTCTCACAACAGGTATCAAAACCTTGAAATATTAGGATGCAGTTTAAGTTATGACCAATGTACTATAAAAACAAAAGAATAAAATCAGATACAGTTAATGAAATTCAGAAACTTTGCTTTCCACAGAATATTACTAGCCTGCTGTGCCTGGCAATGCAGACATGACTTTATACTCTGAGAAGGAATGACTGTCATGTCTGGCAGCTATGCAAGCATGGAGTAAGCATATTGCCATTTATTTCCCAATCAGATTCTGGGGAACATCACTTAAGACACTTCACTATATAAATTAGCCTGCTGTCAAGCCACGCTCCAAGGCTGCCTGGAGTTTGTGTAACCACAGGAGGACACAAAGAGTATCAGGTTTTGTTGCTATCACTCCATTTCTTAATATTACTATAAAGTCTCATGCCAAGAGTTAAGAAACTGGAACAAAAACCCTGAACTCTGGATGCAAGACACACTTCTTTTGCAA